TCTGAAATATCATCTTCTTAAGTCAGTGATTTCTCAGAGCTTTATATCTTGAAGTCTTACTCTATTTTATACTATTATATAATATTGAGATTATTCAGTTAGTAATCTTGAGTGCTCAGAAGATATTGATTCTATTATATAATAGCTTAGTTCTTCACAGTATCTTCAGCTTATTAAAGATGTATACATCAAAGTATTTACTCTTAATATCTGAAATAAAATTAACTCTCAAATCTCTCAGCTTACTCAAGATATTGAATTCTGTATTATATATTATCTTCTCTGAGAATATGAATTATTCATTTGAATATACTATGCTGTTAAGCATGATAATATTGAACTTCTTAAGTACTTTATTTTATCTCTGATTATCTTCTTTCTTAGTACTGATTAATATAATTATGTCACTGAGATGCTTCATTATTTTTAAATACTTCAATTCATCAAAATCTCTTCTCTATATTAAGTGATTATAACTGCAGATCTTGTCAACTGATCTGAAAAACCTGACTTCTTCAAAGCAATTGATCTAGGTATGAAACATCTCAATGATAGCTGTAAGCTGAAGATGAAATGTTATAAAAATTTAATAAAGAATATCTATCTTATATTTGATTGAGTCTGTCTGTTAAATATATGAGTTCATCAGCTATAGTAGATTTTAGAGTCTATCTTTGAGCATTCACTTACTGAGAAATATATAAGTGCTGTTACTAAGCTTGAGATATTCTCTACTACTAAAAGTCTGTTGAAGAATGATTATATCTCATCTTGAGATTTACTTTTACTATCAAAGAAATGTATGTTTGACTTCTTGAATATACTTTTGATTGAAGTGAAAAGTCTGAAGAAGAAGATTAAGTACTTTAATTAAGTGTGAATTCAGCAGCAGCTGATTACAATGAACTTGAATTTAAATAATATAATTATTAATGCTGAAGTTGAGTCTTATTCTGAGAAATTCAATGATAATATAGAGTAAGATTCTATTTTTATTGAAAATATACTATCTTTATCTACTGTAAATAATCTATCTGATACTTTGAAAACAATTCTGAAGAAGAATAATTAAAACTGATGAATATACTGTAGCTTTTAGACTGGCCGCTGAGATCATGAATTTCACATTTAATTTCATTTGGTCTGGTCTCATACATTTCTTGGTGTGAATCCCGCTGGGACTAGTTATTAAAAAAACATGCAAAGTGACTATATATAAGATCTTAAAATGAAACCATGACTTGAAAAAAATGAGAAAGTGATTTCATTTGATCTCATTTATTCTCATTCTTAGCATAAAGTTACTATTTTTAGACATTTTAAGGTTTTTTTAGACTATTTTTAATTTTTTAAAAAGTAACACTTTTTGATAATACTCAAATGAGATTTAAAGTCATTTAAAGCAATAAAAATAATTTAAATTGAGAAGTGGAAATCATGGTCTTATTTGAAAAATGTGACAAGAGTAGACAGTAAGTCTTACTGAGACAGTATGAGACTACTATCTAATGTTAAAACTGTGTAATGAGATTGATCAAATTGATAATAAGACTATCAAAAAATCTGGTCCTGGTCTCAGACACAGTCACATGATCAGTCTAGTAGCTTTACTTACTTCATCTTCATTTAATATATAATATTACATTTTCACTGATAAATATATTAATAATTGAACTTCTGTATTGTTCTGTTAACTTATGAGCTAATTAAATATCAAGATTTAAAATAAACATGACTAACATCTGATAAATTTTATTTTTGAGATATTATTTTCTATATTAACTAATTTATATTTATAACTGATACTTACAAAGAATGTCTGCATAGAATCTTCAATACATTCATTTATACAGATTACTTATTTATTAGAGTTCTACTTGAAATCTTCTTCATAAAGCAGAGCAGTATAAATAAAATAAGAATCTAAATTATCAGAGCACTGCTTTCTGATGAAGAAGAAGATAATCTCTTTGACAGTAACTGATATGACTGCATTGATGAGAATGCACTGAGATTCTTGAGCTTGTGTTTGAAGATACTATATTCATTCTTGTGTACAATAATCTGACAGTGAGAACAAGAATTCTCAGACTTGGTTATCTGAGCTCTCTTCTTCTCAGAGTACACTCAACATTTCTCATTATTCTCTTAACAGGCAGTACATCTGTTCTCTTTCAACAGCTGCTCACTCAGCTCTGTCTTCATTATTCAGTCAATATGGCCTCACATCCTCTGCTTCTGCAGAGAGAAGCACTGGAACTTCTTATAGAAGATCAATCATCATTTCTCTGATTTCTGGGGCTGATAGAATGATGAGCTCTTGCTCATCATTCAATTTCAATCCTGTCTTAGCTGGCTTGTCAGCTGTGTCTGCTCTCAACAGACACAGCTGGCGGACAGAGTGTTGAGAGAGAGGGGGATGTCATATGATATTGTTGACAGTGGTGGCGGCAGTGGGGGGGAGGGAGTGCTCAATATAAGAGACAGCTGAGAGGGCGGGGGAGGTGGGCTCATCAGTGCAGGGGGTGAGGGGGGCGGGGGGAGCCATAATGGCTCTGAGAAGGGAAAGGGAAAGCTAATGTGACATGTCAGTGATTGATTCTTTCTCTATCACATATATCTCATTCATATTCATATTGCTTACTTGATTGATTTCAACAGAACTTCTTCCTCTGCAAAGAACAGAGAAGAGAAGAAGCCTGAGAAAGAGAAATACTGAGTCTAAGAAATGAGATAAACAAAGATTAATTCACAGAAGAAAGTGAAAATCTAGAAGATATCTTCAGTGATGATGATTGAGAGAATGATGCATTATTTCTACAAGCTACAATATTGATGATTACTTACTATGTTCTGCCAAGAATTTCTAGAAGATGATATGAATGCAAATTCATTGAGCCAAAACTCACTTTCAGCAAATTCAACTTTGAAATCAAACTAGTCAACTCAATCTTGAGCCAGTCAGTCTCAGATGTAATGATTGACGGGTGTAGCAGTGTAACTATCAAAATGTGTGCTTTATGAAGAAAATATCCCAGACAATTGACTTCCTGACAATGCAAGGCTCAAGTTGTAGAGATAAGAAGAGAAACAAGAAGAAGTAGAAATAACAAAGAGAAGTAATGTCTGAGCATAAACAATCAATTAAGAAGGGTTTTCAGCTTCCTCACTTGTCATGACATGAATCCTCTGTTTCAATTGTCTTGAGTTAGAAAAAATCTGTTTAGAACTTCTTCATCATCTCTCCTGACCCTGTGAGCTTTGCAACAGCAAGGTCTTGAGTGACTATTTCAATACTTCTCTCTCTGCTCATGTGTCACACTGTATATGAACTTCACTGCTTCTTCAACAGATTCAATATTCTTGTTCCTACAAATAGCTTCTGCAATCATGAGCTCTTCTGCTTTGTCAAGTACTTTTGCTATATTTGAGTGAGAATCAACTTTCTCTGTATATACTTCATTGATGTGGTGATAGAAGCAGCATACTACTGAGGACAATCTTTCACTATTGAGATTTCAATGTTGTGAAACTGCTACTTATAAAATCCCAAACTCATTCATTTCTGAAACCTTGAACCTCAGCTCTTTCCACTCACTTGATTCAACTTTCTCAATCTCTGGGAAGCTTTCAGTGGCTTTGACAACAGCCAAACCACCAGCTTGTGTGATGTTGAGAAGCTCATGGCTGTTATTTTCATTTTTCACAACAACTTGAGCAAAGTTGCTGTATACATTTATATAGGAAATTCTCTGTTTATGTACTGTGTATCCAGGTCACACACATCATGAAACCTTTTGAAGAGGGATCTGGACTTGTCTTCTTCTCATATTTCTGAGAGACAAGATCTGAGCTGCTGTCTGAGTTGTTTGAGCAGTCATTGTTTGAGCTGGAGGTGAAATAGTTGTAGTCAATTCCATTGCTCGACTACAGGCTATTAGCAGCTGCTAGGACAAAGTGAGATGAAGACATTACTTATCAATGTGAGCATGAGAAATCACTATTTCCTGATATGTCCTGATAATACTGAGCTCATTGCAATTGACATCTTGTGTGAATCTTCACTTAACATGTCAGACATTGTTTGTAACTTGTTATATCAGTCATGATCATGTTCATACAAACAAGACACTCTGTAGTTGCACACGGAGTCCAGGTCTCTGAATATCTCAATTCAGCAAATGCACTATTAACTTTAGCTCTTATTTCTCAAAATGCCCCTGTATTTTGAATGTTGATATGTAGATGAAAATATGTCTTGCTAATAGTTGATTCATTTATATGATGTAGCTGTGACAGTTGATCATTTTGTGAATTCAGTTCTGAGATTTGAAAGTTCAGCTCAGTGATCTTTATAGTAACTTTCTAATATATTGATGTAAGTTGCTCAGTTGATGCTTCTTTAACAATTTCATTTCACAACTTCATTATAAGTGAGATAAGCTGATACCAAAGTGACACTCAGTACATCCTGAGATCTTCTGAGTATGTATATCTTTTCACTGATAGTAACTCAGCTCATTCTTCAGAAAGATGTAGAGACTTGTATAGTGCTTGAAGTTTTGCAGACTTGAAGAAGCTTTATGAGTTGAAAAACAGCTGAATCTGGATTTTATCTGTGAACTGACAGTTTTTTTTGATGATATTATATCTCACAATTTTTTCATTAATTTTACAGAGAGTGCTAAGTGTATTAGCAATCTCTCATGAAACACCAGCATAATTTGTTATCCTGGTTGCATCAGTAATGCTGCTTTGATGGCTGGCCTGACATGCTTCATATAGCATTATTATATGCTATGTTGCTGCAATGTGGCAATGCTGATAATATCTATTCAAGAGTTTCTCTATCACTGAAACATCGGCTGGATCCCACTGAAGGCCTGCAAGAGCCTGCCTTGTTCAAGTGACAGCATGAGTTAATTCTAACAGAGTTAGTGCAAAAGACTTGTTCTATTTCACAGCTTCTGATGCTTACTCTCAAGAGCATTCTTTTCTAATTATTTATCCTTCTCAGAGTGAAACTTGTCAGGGTTTATCACCACTGCAGCATGTGCAATCACCTTTCTGTATATTTCTGCCCTCATCTGAGGAGCTGTGATGGTGAGCACAGTGTGCACATTTTCAGAAGCCTGGTCAACAATTGCTTTGATGAGCTGGAGACAGTTCTTGATGCTAAGTGTTAAAGTGTGCATTTCATTCATAGCCTCATCTTTATCAACAGCAACATCATCATCATTATCATCATCATCATCATCATCATCATCATCATCATCATTTTGATGATACACAGAGGCAGGGTCGTCATCGAATCCATCACAAGGCGGAAAAAGATGTGCCATGAAGGAGGCAAAAGTGGAAGAAGGAGAAGAGAGAGTGAGAGGAGTGGAATTAGCAGCATCAGCACTGAGGTCAGATGAGATGGTGGAAGTGATATCAGTCATTGTTTAGAAAAATCAAGTTTTGTTTGAAAAGTGTAAAAGTGTAAGATGAATGTACAGTGTGTTTAATAAAGATAATAGATAGTTTATGAGATGCAGTCTAGATTTTATATTCTTTCAGAGATCACATCTTTCTTTTTCACAGTCACAGTCATGCTTGTATTTCTGTCAGTCATAGTCTGAGTCACACTTATTGAGATGATAACTGTGACCTATTTTCTTCTTTAAATGATCAGCTAGAAAATCAAGATGAGCATAATTTATTTCACAGATGACAAAAATATTTTCAATCTGATTTTTTTCAAATATTTCATAAGAATGCTGACAATCACTCTGCTCTTTTTTCTCTTATATTTTCATGCAATTATATTGAAGATAGAGTATGCTCTCTCTATGAACTGTGATGTATTCAAGAAAAGTCTAAACTAACAGGTCACAGAATCAGTCAAACAATTTCTGTTCAGATAACTGAGTCAGTCATCTATCAAGTGACTGTTGGCACTGGAGAGAAATACCTCTTTGAATCAGGGCATATCAATGCTGATGTTGAGAATAAGATTGTTTTTGAGTTTCAGACTTTGAATCATATCTTAACTTAATCAAGCTTGACCTGTTCATGCACATCATTGCAGCAACTGAACTCAGGTTTCAAGCAGTTCAATTCAACTGACTGTGAAGATCTTATGCTGTCTGTGACTGTTAATACTCTCAAGCCTTAGTGATTCTTCTGCTGCCAGAATGTATCTTCCTCTCACTGCCATGCAGGAATGATATTTGCAGTCAACCTGGGGAAACATATGAACAAATTTCTAGTGAATGTGAGGAGAGAAAGCACAGTTGACATTTCAGGTATGACTAAAGAAACACAACCATCAGTGATGTCGCGTGGCTTCGCGCCATCAGCTGGCTGGTATCTAAATTCAACAGGGGTGTTTCCAACCGGCGTGTTTCCAACAACTCTAACTCTATGGCACTCAACAGGAACAGAAGCATCTGGGAGATCAGTCTCTTTGCCTTCACAGCCACCACCCGAGGCTTTTACATCATCTGGAAACAATGAGCCACAGGCAGTCTTTCTATTGATCACGCTCATGCTTCTTCTAGCTAAGCTGAACCATTTATAATTTGTGAAGAGTGAGTGAATTGAGCTTTCTGATTATTACAAAGTTTTGTGTATGAGAGAATGTGATTAATCTTGAAAGATTCTTCTTTATCACTGTTGTTCTGCTAGTCAATAATATTATATATGTACTGAACAAGAAAAGCATGATAGCACAAGTTCTTCATACACTAAATAAAGAACAATGAAGCTTAATCAATCCTAGTTAGCAGTATATACTCTGTTAAATGAAAGCTCATACTGCAATTCAAAGCTCATTACTGTGCTTCAAGTTCAAACACAAAAGAATCAACTTGATAAGAATATATAGTGAGACATCTTTGTATATAGCTTCACTTCTGTTTTCATTGAACAAAGACTTATGCAAGATTGCTCTGCTTCAGCTCTGAATCAATAATTCACAGCATATCAGCAATTATCAGAAATCTCAAAAGCTCACCATGAGTGCAAAAGACAAGGTACAGATCACAAGAAGATAAAGACAGCAAATATCTATTAACTACATATTAGTCAGTACAAACAAATATTGATGAATCAGTTCATGTCACTTTTACATACTTCTGTGCCATATCTCAAACTTCATTGAATTATTCTGTGAATGAACCCCTTGTGACACACCTTCAGTGGCAGATTGAGAATCAAAAAGTCATTATAGAAGCTCAGTCAGCTACAGTGTCAAAATGTATTGAGAAACTAAGTAAAGTCTTAGAGAAGAGACAATAGAATTGAAAAGTGATTGATAATTTGAAGCAACATCTATCTTGTGTACATGTATTTACATTTCTTCTTCTTTTCATTCAATCTCCTCTCACATGTATCACATTGAACTCAGAAGAATGCTCTGTGATTAGAAGCATCAAAGGCCCCATCTAGGCCTTGTTCATCTATATACCATTGAGTAGTATTGAGAGATCTGTTTATCAACAATACAGTGTCATTAGACTGTAGTGTCATGGTAATCTTCTTCTGAAGATGCTGAACAGAGAATTGAATAGATCAGCAGTAACATTGACATTTCACACATATATCATCCTCACTTAGATAGAGACTCAGATTGATGTCATTCTTGTAAAATTTGTGATAAGCTGGTCAGAGTGTCAATAATACTCTGATAATAGGCTGAGCTGGTTCATAGCATCTAATAGTCCCAATGCAGAGAAAGAAGCCATTTTGAAACTCTGAAATTGAGTTCAATTTAAAGAAGAGGCTTGAAGCAAGAAGAGTTAAAAGAGTCTCTTTCATCTTGTGTGCTTCTGACAGATTCTTTTGAATAGATTGAGAGATGTTCTTCATCACACTGATATCAACAATCAACAGCTGTGTGCCTGTGAAGAAGTGATTGAAGCAGAAGTAGTTCTTGCAGATTTGATTATCAAGCTCACTCTGAAGTTCATTCCAGGTCTCCTCACCATCAAACAAAGACATGTAGAAGTGATAAATGTGAGGAAGTCATTCATCTAGAAGGATGTTGCATGAATCTGATGTTTTCAGAATTCTTAAGACAGTTCCTGTATCCAGGGAGATTACAACATGCAGTTTTAGTATTCACAGTCACAGGCACCACACTTCCAACAGCTCTAAGTGAATTGAGTTATTGTGCTGCTGTTTCATACCGCCGTCCTGGAAACTATCAATAAAGAGAATATCAATGAATGGAAACAGCCTGTTCAGGGGTCAGAAAAAGAAATTAAAATTTGAGACTTGAAACCTACACAGAAGCAGCTGAGATAGCTCTTACACTGTAAAATGTTAGCAGGGTAAGATGAACATTGACAGATCAGAACTTCAGAACTCACACTTGCCAGACAAATAACTCATCATCAACTCTAGTTTGGAGACAATCATACACTGTGAAGTCAGTGAGTGAAAAGATGAAAGTATAGATGAACACACATATCACAGTCATTGCACAAGAGTGTCTCATCATTATAGTTGATAAAAAGAAAGGGAGTCTCATCTGCAATAGAGATAGATGTCACAGCAACCCTTCAGCCTGTAATCATGATTTGAGAGGTGTCAAACATATGTAATGTTGCCCTGTAGTGCTGCATAAAGATATGCTTCAAGGCCCTGCTGTCATACATGCCATCTGCTGTCCAGATTTTGACCAGATGCTATAGCTTGAACACACAATCTCTCTGCTGTTCCTCAAAAAACCCTTTCATCAATTGTTGAAAGCACTCACTGCACTTTTCAGCACCATTCTGACATATACCTATATCAAGTGAAATGTCTCCACCTGAGAGATGTTAGCTCTGAATTCATGGAAGAGGTTTACTCTTCAAGAGAGATTGAAAATATATGAATCTGAGCTTATTTCAATGAAATAGTTGATGAGGTTTTGCAACTGTAGATTGCACAGAAGCCTCTTTTGCATGAAAACTAGCAACCTGGCAGGAATAATGCTCAACAGCCCTTCACCATCAATGCTGAGGAGACAGGCAGCAAAAGTAGATAACTTGATTCTCATCTTCAATGCTGTGAGTGTGTTGCACAAAGAGTATTTAGTTACAACATACTCACTCTCTGCATCAGCACAGCCTTCACTGAATCACTTCATGCAGCTATCACAAAGAGCATGGTCACATGAAAGGCAGTATTCCGTGCAGTGAACTACACAGACAAGATAAACAGAGTTGAGTCTCAATAAAGCTAGATGCTTTCTCTGCTGATTTAGGTTGTATCTGTGAATATGTGAAGAAGAGTCTTCTTTCATGCTCATGAATTCAAATAGTCTTTATATCTGATTATTGACATTCTGGCACATCAACTCTGCAAGGGCACAATTGTCTAACACTTGCTTGTATGCACTATAGCAGACCTTTGAATACAAAGTCTGAAACACAGCCTGAGATGAGAATTCTAAGTTTGAGTAAGCTAAGGTCAAGAACAACCAGGGCTCAGGAGACATGTCATGCATTAGAGAAGAATACACATTCATCAGAATCACTGATACAGTGTATGACACCAGATCTTCATAAGACATCTGCTTATTGATCCCCTGACTCAGAACTGTTGATAGATGAGGCATCAGTGAGTCACTGACAGGGTTTAGCTGTCTTGATGAATGTATGAAGTCAAATGATGTGAATATATTAGCTGTGACATGTCACAGTGCATCTTCATAGAAGGCATTCATATGCATTGTAGAAAAGAGAACTTGATGAATTTTCTGTGCTGATCAGACAAGATTGAGCTCCCTTGTAATATCCGCATGTAGATCTAGATAGTGAGCATCTGAAGATAGCTCACCTGGCGGGTGTTGTGATATGCTAATATCTGTAAAGATGAAAAGAAAGAGCAGATTGTTAACAATATTCAAAAGAAAAAATTCCTCATTCAACAGCATCTGTGTGATGCTGTCATTATCCTTCTCAGTGACAATGATGATGTGAGGGCGAATGATGTCTGGCAAGTTGAATATGAATTCAATGATTACTCATTTTATCAGAAGAGATTGAACAGCTTTCAGGTCTTCAACATCATCTGTAAAGATACAGATAACATCACAGAAGAGAAAGAGAAGTCAGACAAGAATGAGATAAAAGGAATCAAACAAGGAGTCAGGTCACTGAACTGATACACTCTCATGACAGTGACATAACTGAGAGCTGCTTGGTGTGTGTATCACTGCACAGCACATTGAATTGCAGTCTGCAAAAATTCTGAAATAGATGAACTGAATAGAAATGTTGTCTACTTGTAAATTTACAGTGTGTCACTGCTGAAAGCAGCTTCTATAATGATTGATTCAGCAAAGTTGCTGCAATGCATCATTCTTGATCTTTTCACTTAAGAGAAATATTAACTGAGGAAATTGTTCTGAAGGCTGGTTCATCTCAGCCATAACACATGCCATCTGTCATTCAGTCTCAAGAAGAGG